TGTGGAGATGGTTTGGGATGGATGGTTGGTGGATGGATATGGATGGATGTGGATGTGTGTGGCTAGGAATGTGTTAAAAAACTGGACATTATTATTACATTACTACTGTTACTTACTTCTCATGCGCTAAGGATGCAAACCATAGCCAAATGTTAGGATCGCCAGATCCTCTTGTTTTATCTTTTCCACTAAAGCTCATCGGTGCTGACCATGGCCTGCACACATCTAGCGGTGTGCAGATTTCCTGCTTCTCAGAGATGCTGACTATAGAAGGATTAGGAGGTCTCGTGCCTACGCTCAAGTTTGGTTCGGAGATGGAATCTATGTTGCACTACGTCAACTCTGATGATGACCCATGAAGGAGAAGCCTTCACTCGATAGACTTCCGCTAGATTAACTCGGTAATAGGTGTATTCCCCAGTGATGTAATATCTTGTATTCTTGTAATCTTACGATGTTTGACGGTGATATCGACTGATATATGATAATATGATGGAATCAACTATTGGTTTCATCATATTATAATTCATTCTGTGGATTTTCCCTTCGCGGAAAATTGAGGATGTTTCAGGTACCTTTTGACCAACTTAGCCCATTCCAAGTTTGGCATTCCTAGTTACCTAATTTCATTTCTCTCCTGCTTTACCTTGCAGTGCCAAAGTGATTTGTCTATAAGTGCCGAATTATGACAAGTGGGCAAAGGCTTTGACTATAAGGTCTCGTCATTTAACGCTTATGACATGAATGGATATCGCTTTCACACAACAAGCTACGAGAAGAGTCACCCCAATGCAAAGACCATGAATACCGAAGTATATACGCCCGGAGTAGTTACGCCCGGCGCTTAGCAGGAGGACTATTATGGCACAGTTGAAGAAATATACGAGCTCCAATACCATGGTGAAAAAGCACCTAGGCCAGTCATATTCAAATGCCAGTGGTTTAATCCTGCAGTATCTAAAAAGGCCCCTAAACTTGGGATAGTCGAAACTAGACAGGATTCCTTCTATCTAGGAGATGATGTCTATATTGTGGCTCAACAAGCCAGGCAAGTTTATTATTGTCCATATGCTTGCAAAACCGACCCACGTCTTCAGGGTTAGTATATTGTGCACAAGGTATCACCACATGGTAAATTACCTCGCCCAAACGATGATGATTACAACTTGAACCCATCCACGCATGATGACGGGGAGTTCTATCAACAAGACGAGGAGCTACCAGGAATGCTTGAGATAGACTTAACAGGAGAGATTGAAATGGAAGTAGACGAGGAATGGGTTGTTGATGAGGAAGCTGCAGATGAGGTGCATGATCTGAGAGACTTGAAAATGCTTAACGGACTACAACTAGGCAACGACAGCGATGAGGATGAGGCTGTTGACAATTTGGAGGCTCTTGATAGTGATGACGATACCTATCGTTCAGATAATCCCGATCATGAAGAATATTAGAAATACATATAATACTATGTTATTTTGTAATTACATTTTCTTTTTTTGCATACCTTGCTAAGTACTTCTCGTTTATCTTGACTAATCTTTGGTTTATTCTTTTTTTATTTGCGGTGATGGGGCCCACTAGGAGGAGTCATCACTCGACTTACATGAGATCGAGGGACACGCCATGGCGAGGAGACGGAGGTGGAGGCGAGAGGCGTCACAGAGAGGTAGAGGAGGCCGAGGCGAGGCCCAGGCGGAGCCATCGGCCGACCACGCTTGGCTCCTCGCGCTCTTCTAGGGACGACGACGACGGCCTGCGCCCATGGTGGGCGAGGAGGTGGCTCCACAGGATGTCTGACGAGGAGGTGGTTCCGCACACGTCCAGAGGAGGGGGCGGGGTTCGACTTCCTCTCGACCTCCAAACCCTACTTGCGAGGTCCCAGCCAGCTTTCGAAGCGACCGATTCCTCCTCACCGCCGCCCACTGATTGCACCCGAGGGGGATAAGTAAGTAACTTCATATGTTCTTCATTTGATATGTTGAAAAATGATAGTAAGAGCTAATAATAACTATTGTTAACCACTTGTGCAAGAACTAGATGCTTGTGGAGGAGGGGATCGAGGCTCGCAATGTCAATGGGATCCTGGGACTTCTGTGCAGGGAACACTTCCCTGGCCTGGTGTGGGCGTCAGAGGATGAGGACCCAGTGGTACCCTCGTTTGACCAGTACGCCCTCGTCGCCACCGACACTGAGCATAGAAACTTGGTGGATCGGGTGATTCAGGAGTTGTGGGTAAGCCTTTCTTGCACTACGGCCCTCAATTCATTGCATTCAATGCACATTCTTTAAACAAAATAATGGATACCTCGTGTCTTTATGCATGACTTCTTCAGATGCTAGCCGGGATAGGAGGATAGGGCGTATCAGGTGGCTTACGCTTCCTATAAAAGGCGTGTCTCGGACTTGTATTACGAGGCCCGCCTCCAGGCGCACAGAGACTACAACGCCACCTTCCGTAACAGAAGAATCAACAAGACACAGGCAAGAAGGGAGACAGAGGTTCTTACCAGGGAGCAGTACCTACAGGTAAATAGAAACATCTCCTATTGATTTCTTCTGAGATTAACTATGCCTAATTTGATCTTATGATGGCTTGTAGGTGATTCCAAACTGGTGCGCCACCCACCCCGATTGCTAGGCTGCTATAGTGGACAAATGGTTGGACGCGGATTGGCAGAGGGCGCACCAAGAGAAAAGCGAGCACCGTATGATGATGCCAGGTGTACCTCACCATCAGGGCAGCACCAACCTCAGCAAGTATGCGAAGACATATGTAAGTCTCCACCATTTGTCTTATCTAGCCACGCTCAGTTTTGCATTATTTCTTACCACATGTTGTTGTCTTTCTCGCAGTCGGCGGCGCACGGTGGTGGCCAGCCAATTGGCCAACTCACGGCGTATGCTCGGCCCACATGGGCCCGGCAAAGTCCAACATCGAGTACAACCCGGATGTGGGCCCAGGCGTACACCAACTCCAAAGATCCACACCCGCCTCACTTCTTACACGGAGGCGACAAGGTCACCCACGGGCCCGACTACGATCCGAGGACCGAGGCGCCTTGATCTGAGCTCGTGATGAGGGTGGGGAAAGGCAAGAAGCATGGGCGTTTCGGATTGGCGATGGCATCCTCGACACGGGCTCTACTCCTCTCCACCGCCTCCGAGCAATGAAAGCACGAGCTCTAAGCGTGCCCATAAAACAACGGCCGTCATCGGTGGCGGCACTCCGTAAGTATTCCAGTTTCATTAAATCGTTCTTTGTCATTTACATTCCTTAGCTATGCATTATTGAAACATTGGTGTCAAATGTTGCAGGTAGAAGCTGCAGCGACTTCGGTCCCAAAGAGGAGGCCCAGTGGCCGAGTGGGAGGCCGAGCGTCGAGGCTACAAGCTTTGGAGGCCCAAAAGCGGGTTTTGCTCCAGTTCAGTGCAACAACTTGGGCTGCAACAAGGTTGAGAGATCCCAGCCAACCTGCTTGCACCACCACCACCACCACCACATCGTCCAGATTCTACTCCGGTGAGTATGAGTTCGGATGCTTTACTTTCTATGCTCATGCTTAGTGTCAAACCTAGTGATGGCCTTCGTGCCGGATTTGTTGATGTGTGGGCCTTCGTGCCGGGTTTGTTGACGTGTCGGCCTTCGTGCCAGAAATGTGGTTGTCGGCCTTCGTGCCGACGTTTTTCTTGGAGGTTTTGGAAACCTCCCCGTGCAGGGGAGGTGCTGCCGAAATTTTCAACTTTTCTTTAAACTGCTTACATTTTTATCTTGTCACTCACGTGCAATCTCTTCTCTTTTGTGCAGCATCAATCAGGGGCGGCGTCGAACCATCTCGGAGGGTCGCCGGCATCGCAAGTTAGGGCGTCGCAACCCTCACATTCGCCGTGAGCCGCTTCCGGAGTCGGTTTTATGTAGGCATGCCTTTATGTATTGAACTTGTGAACTTGTGGTTTGTAATATATTGTGGATTTCGGACATAATTGGTCATTTGTGATATATATATGTGGTTTCTGATATATTGTGTTGAATTGTGGTTTATGATATATATATATGGACTGTTGTTTACATGGAAAAGCAAAAAACAATTTTTTTTTTGCTGTGGCTTTGCCGGCAAAGCTGGGAAAATAGCAGCAACAATTTCCCAGATTTGACGAGTGCAATGGCCATTGCACTCGGCAAAGAAAATTAAAAAAAAAAATAAAAAATGCTTTGCCGAGTGCCTTGGCAGTGGCACTCGGCAAAGAAAATTAAAAAAATAAAATAAAAACAGGCTTTGCCGAGTGCCTCGGCGCTATGGCACTCGGCAAAGAGTTTTGAAAAAAAAGAAAATTCTTTGCCGAGTGTTGCACTCGGCAAAGAAATTAAATTTTTTTTAAGACGGCGTGAGCCTTCGACCAACGGCCGTCAATCCTTTGCTGAGTGCCAGCTTGACACTCGGCAAAGCCTTTGCCGAGTGTCCGAGATTTAGCACTCGGCAAAGCAGGCTTTACCGTGAAAAGATTCGACGGAGCCTCTTTGTCGAGTGTTGCACTCGGCAAAGAATTTGCCGAGTGCATGGGTGGCTTTGCCGAGTGCATGGGGCACTCGGCAAAGCGTGTGGCTGCTGTAGTGTTGGTGATTAATTAGTCGAAAGTTGACGATTAGATTATGGAACTCGCAGACACTCTTTTGACGACCCCTGCTTTTTTTTCGAATTTGAAACAAACAATTATGCACGCTTTCCGTGTTCGCCCGGGACAGTTTCAAATCATGACTACATTAGACAGTTTCCAACCATGCATGGCCTTTCATACGAGAAATCTCTTGCAGGACCGTCAAACAAGACCCTAAACTATCAGGCACATTCTTGGTGAGGAGATCTGTTTCTTCCGAAATTAGTGAAAGGAAAAACACAAGCCACAAAAGCATTTAGAATTGCAGGTCTACTAGAAGAATCAAAGACAAAGGACTATATGCATAAATAATCAGAAGTATTGTTGTATGAAGAAGCAGGCGATCACTCGACGCGAACCTCCACCACTTGTGGCATCTTCTGGCGCATTCTACTTAACTCCCACAGGATTTTGAAATCCTTATGCAGAGACAGTAACCACAGCTTCCTTAAAGACACAAGGGATTCAAATCCTTCAGGAAACTTATTCAGTTTCGGCAGCGCCACAATATATAAACCTTCAATTTTTGGAAGAGCATCCTTCCCAACTGTCAACTGGTTGACATTGAGCATGTTCTTCAGTATTAGTGCCTTTAGTTGTGGAAAGGACCCTTCAGAAATAACCATTGTCTCTGTGCTGCTCACCCTATTAAGGCTCAGATAGCTGAGGTTTGGCACATGTGCAGCAATAAGCAGTAGCGGGTCTTCCTGAAGACCAGACCAGCTTAGAGCTAGATACCTGAGGTTTTTCCCATGGCCTTGAAATATTGGGCACTGCAGTTGCAGTGTTCCGGCAGCCCAGCGGCCCCTAACGATCAATCTGTGGAACTGCTTGGACTGGCCGTCGACGTTTAGGCCGCCGACCGGTCAGCAAGCACGGGCACAGACCCAGACACGCACGAGTGCATGCGACTTCGGCTGCAGCACCGTCCACCCTGCCGCTGCCTGGCCTAGCCGGCCACCGCACGAGGGCACATGCATGCGCGGGCCTCCGGCCGCCTGGCCTAGCCGACGTGCGTGTGCGGGGGCCAGACACTAGGATCTAGGAGAGGCGCACGCGGCTTTGGCCATAGCCCCAGCCATCCAGCCACCGCTTGCCCTAGCCGGCGAGCGCACAGGGGCACGGGCACGTGCGGGCCTCTGGCCGCTACCCCGACCACCCGGTTGCCCCCTGGCCTAGCCGGTGTGCAAGAGCGGGGTCGAGACACTCGGATCTAGATAGCACCGAGCATGTGGAGTTGAGGGAGACGCCCCTGTCGCTAGAAAGCCCGCCGCATACGAGGCCGATGCCAGAGCGGCCACCCCTGCTCCCCCGCCTCTATCCTACGTTGCTCGTGGTCGAACACCACCGCTCGGAGCAGAACCCTAGTGGCCGCAGCCAAACCTCCCGGCCGCTACCTGACCTAGCTGACAAGCGTGCGGGGGCACAGGCGCGCGCGGGGCCTCCAGCCACCCAGCCGCCGCCTGGCCTAGCGGGGGTGCGTGCGCCGGAGGCTAGCGCTAGCCCTTTGCCACTAGCGAGACGCTCGGGCCTCCGGTGGTTCTTTCCTGTTACGGTAATGCTATCGAGCGAGGGTCCGTCTGGCCGGACGCGTGCCTTCGCTGAGCCTGGGGATCAGGTCTGACCGGCCCATCATATATTAAAAAATCTGGACACTTCCATCGGGACGGAACCGCCCGTGCCGCGCGCCCCTGCACCTCGCGCCGGACCCGCTTCACGCCATGCGCCCCTACGCCTCACGCCAGACCCGCCTCGTGCCGCGCACCCCACCTATGCCTCGCACCGCGCGCCGTCCGCGCCTCGTGTCAACCTTTATTGGGCAGTAGCAAGTAGATGAGCACATGTTGCAACCGTATGTTTCATGCGTTTCAGATGTATGTTGTATATGTTTCATCTGGATGTTGCAAAAGTAGATATGGTGTTGCATATGTTGCAATGGCTATACACTTGTGTTACAAGTGTATGTTTCAAATGTTTTAGCTGTTTCAAATGTATGTTGCAAGTGTTTCATCTGGATGTTGCATATGTTGCAATGGCTATATACGTATATTGCAATTCTGTTTTCGAAATGTTTCAGCTGTTTTCATCTGGATGTTGCATATGTTCCAATGGCTATACACATATGTTGCAAGTGTATGTTCCAAATGTTTCACCTATTTTCATACGTATGTTGCAAGTGTTTTATCTGGATGTTGTTATATGTTGCGGTAGTAATACACATATGTTGCAAACATATGTTTCATTTGTTTCACCTGGTTTCAATATGTTGCAGTAGGTGCTGTTCCCCACACGCTCTGACTCGCGGGCACGCACCCATCCAATGCTGCCTATCTCTGTCATGCGGGCCAACGCTACCTATCTCTATCATGCAGGCTAGTTCCAATAGTCGGACGTGCACGCAACGGGCGGTCAGTGCCCAAATGGCCGAGCACTCCCTGGTCAAAGTGCATGCGCACATGTAGAGAGCCAGAGCGAGCCAGCGATGTAGAACCGGATGCCCCTACACCACCAGGCTTGGTCCCCTAGGGTGGAGCATGCAGCCAGGGCAACACGAGTACGCGCACTATGCTCCCACCCTCTCTCTCGCATGTAGCTAGGCGGGCCCCATGCACATGCTCTCCCTACAGGCGTAGCAGCAGCACGCGTGGACCCAACAGCAGTAGCAGGCGCGGGGTGCGAAGCATAGGGCAGGCGCAGTAGCAGCACGCGTAGACCCAGCAGCAGCAGCAGCAGGTGCGGTGTGTGAAGCACTGTCGGGGACCAATACTAGGGTACCCAAAGAGGAGGAGCTAATGACCATCAACACTGATTCATCCGAGCAGTCAAGGGCGCGACTACTGCTCCAACTGACCTCTGGGGGCGGACTCCACCTCGCCTGACCCTGAGGCCACGGGGTCCGCCTCGCCTGACACCGAGGTCATGGGCTCCGCCTCGCCTGACCCCAGGTTGTGGGCTCTGCCTCGCCCGACCCCTAGGTCGTAGGCTCTGCCTCGCCCGACCTCTAGGGGCGAGCTCTGCCTTGTCCGACCCCGAGGCCACGAGCTCCGCCTCGCCTGATCCCAAGGCCGCGGGCTCCGCCTCACCTGACCTCTAGGCCTCGGGCTCCGCCTCGCCCAACCCTAGGGTCACGGGCTCTGCCTCGCCCGACCTCTGCGGGCCGGCTCAAACTCGCTCGACATCGAAGCCGTGGGCTCCACCTCGCCCAACACCGAGGTCACGTGCTTTGTCTCACCCGACACCGAGGCAGCGGGCTCTGCCTTGCCCGACCCTAGGGTCACAGGCTTCGCCTCGCTTGACCTCTGGGAGCGGGCTCTGCATCGCCCGACCCTGAGGCCACGGGCTCCACCTCGCCCGATCCCAAGGCCGCGGGCTCTGCCTCGTCCGACCTCTAGGCCTCGGGCTTCGTCTCACCCGACCCCAAGGTCGTGGGCTCTGCCTCGCCTAACCTCTGGAGGCGGGCTCCTCCTCGCCCGACACCGAGGCCACGGGCTCTGCCTCGCCAGACCTCTGGGGGCAGGCTCCACCTCGCTCGACACCAATCCCGAGGCCACGGGCTCCGCCTCGCCCGACACCGAGGCCACGGGCTTCACCTCGCTCGACCCCGAGACCATAAGCACCGTCTCGCCTGACCCTTGGGTTTGCGCTCCGCCTCACCCGACCCCTCGGGTGTGGGCTCTGTCTCACCCAATGGAGTCCCATACCGCTGCCAACCACTCCAGGTCCAGGCGTATGGGCCTGGGTCAAAACTCTGACACCAGGGAAGAGACTGGCACGCCTTGATGTAACCCGCGGCCACGACGGGCCATACCTGAGGATTCACATCAAGAACAGCGTTGGACGTACCGGTGCTGTTCTGCCTAACCCTCGTACGAACACTGACAGGCGCGTCAGTTCACCACGACGTCCGCCAGGACGGAGTGGAGCGCCATGACCGGTAGAAGACGCCTGCGCATGGCGCTAGTGACGGACAAGGCCACAACATGGTGCCATTCCTACTAATATCTATAGAGTCGGTGAGACTCGCATGAAGGAGAAGAAGGACCCAGTGATCCTATAGACCTTTGTCTCTCTCTTGTTCTTCTCTTTCCCTCCGCTGTAACCCATGCTTTCCCTTGGACTATAAAAGGGAAAGCAGGGCGTCCCATGAGGGGCATCGGACGAACTCACCGAGATCCGACTCAAGCTAGATCAACACAAAAGCACGATTTGAGCATACGGCCAAACAACGACCAAGCTCTCAGCACCCGCTCACTCTTTCCACCAGAGACTTGGGATGCTTTCCCTCTCTTGCCCTGTTTGTAACCCCTACTACAAACTTTTAGTGCTAGTAACACGAGCAGCAACAATGAACTGGACGTAGGGACATTCTGCCCAAACCAGTATAAACCTTGTGTCCTCTAAGCACACCATCCTAGCCAGACACGCAATATTAGAAATTTACTCCTCGGTGGTAACTCGAAACACCGACAGTTGGCACGCCAAGTAGGGGCCTTTTGCATGTCTTGACATCCACACCAGGCCTTGGATGGCTAGTCACAACGTCAGCTGGGTCCCGGGCGCGCACGTGCGCTTTGGGAACCTAGACTCCATCATCACAACGGAGGGAGAGTTGGTGTGGGCTCCCATCGCTGTCTGACATCTCCACTCCACCGGCCTCGATGCGATCGACGTGGTGCTTGAGGAGCTACAGCTGCACGCACCAGAGGCCCACACCCCTAGGGCGACCAGCTCCTTGGCTTCGACGAGGGGAAATGCAGGGCGATCGGCGAGGAGATTGTGAAGCTTTTGGTGGCCGGGTTCATCAAGGAAGTATACCACCCCGAGTGGTTAGCCAATCCCATTCTTATACGACAAAAGAGTGGGAAATGGAGAATGTGTGTTGACTACATGGGTCTCAACAAAATGTGTCCAAAGGATCCGTTTCCTTTGCCACGCATAGACCAAGTAGTCGACACAATCTCAGGGTGCGAAACCCTTTGCTTCCTTGATGCGTACTCCGGGTACCATCAAATCGCGATGAAAGAGTCCGACCAGCTCGCGACATCTTTCATCACCCCATTCGGATCATTCTGCTACATCACAATGCCGTTCGGTCTAAAAAACATGGGGGCAACGTACCAGTGTTGTATACTCAAAAGTTTCGGGGACCTCATCGGGTTAACCGTTGAGGCCTACGTGGATGACATCGTGGTCAAATCCAAATGGGCTGACCAGGTCATGGTCAACTTAGAGCAGACCTTCATGAAACTCTGAGCAAACGGCATTAAGCTCAACCCCGAGAAGTGCGTTTTCGGGTCCCAAGGGGTTTGCTGTTGGGTTTTATCGTCTCCGAGCATGGCATCGAATCCAACCCAGAGAAGATCTCGGCCATCACGAGGATGGGCCCGATTCAAAACATAAAGGGGGTACAATGAGTTACAGGGTGCCTCGCTGTGCTCAGCTGCTTTATCTCGTGCCTCGGCGAATGAGGTCTCCCCCTCTATCGGCTCCTGAAGAAGGCCGACCATTTCAAATGGACGCTCGAGGCCTAGGAGGCACTTGACACCGTCAAGCAGCTTCTAACAAAGGCCCCAATCCTAGTCCCTCCGACCGATGGGGAATAGCTTCTGCTCTACATCATGGCCAC